TACAACTTTCTTCAATTAGGGAATAGCGCAGATGGATCAATCACGAATTCCGATTTCTGTTTTTGTTTGTATTAAAGTGTTGGTAGCTTCTAGGGACCCTTGCATATTAAATTTTATTTATTTATTTTAAAAAAATAATACAAAACCTCATAAATGGTCCAATGGTCCCTGGGTAGTGAAATGACAAAAATACCCCTGACTTAACGGCTAAATGGTAACGGAGTGAGCCGGAAGGACCAAATGTTAAAAGTTTTGAAACCACAGGGACCATCTGTGAGGTTTTTTGAACTTAGGGACTAAACTTGATATTTTCGGAAACCACATGACCATTTTTGAAGTTTTGTCTTTTTAAAATGAACAAAAGACCATTGACAAGTTATCCCGGCCCCACCCATACTAAAACAACTTTTGACCCACCCATTTTCCCATCTTTACTTTTCATAAGTGGTTATTAACTATTTGGTTGAAGATAAAAAGGATGCTTTTCTTCCTATCAAATCCAATGGACCCATAATTGTATTTGTCTGCTGTGGCCTAAAATTGGACATTATGTATGCTAATCACCATTAACTGGCTGTGTTAAGATCACTAATCATGCACCTACACAGCATAACCATTTTGGAACAAAAAAAGAAAAAAAGTCGTTTTTACATGGTTAACCAAATTTCCTATGTATTTTTTTTCTTTCTTTTTCCTTCGTGTTTCATCTTTTTGAGTCTCATACGTCAGTTTCTGTATCAGTCTAATGCATATCAATTTCTGTATCAGTCTAATGCATATCAAATATTAACAGACTGTCATGCCGTAAGAAAACCCACCTACCTACCTAATCAGTAATCACAATATCACAATGCTCATACTAATGGAGAGTCCACTAAAAAAATTTCCATTTATTGTTGGTGGCATAAGTCATAAGATATGGAGATGGGATTTATCATTTATGGTGGATGATGAGTTTGCTCATCTCATCCTTTCTGTCTAAAACCCTAACCCTACCTTAATCTCTTAGGTTTTAGTCCTCTAGTTGGTCCTACTTGTGTGCGTTTTTCTTTTTTTGCAATTTTGGATGATTTCATTCGCTAATTGTTATTACTTTTTACTTCATTCATGCTTGTGTGTTCTGTTTAGGGTTAATTGTTATAATACATCATCGATTTATCTATTTATATTTTTAATGGGTATTTCAAGTATTCGATTATCAGTCCAAATAAAAAATTGAATTATGTGTCGAGTGTTAGTGTGTTTTGTTTAGGGTTATTTGCAAGAAAGCCTTTAATTTTGCAGAGTTTTTATGGTTTCACACCTTTTGTAAATTTTATTAATTTTACCCTGTAATTTTGATGTGGCTTCTTAATTTGGTATTTTTAATCATTTTTACCCGTTTCTCAGTTTCCTTGAGGTGAAACTCACAAGAATATCCTTAAGTTTGTAGTTTTTTGCAGTTTTACCTAAAGTCTTTTTTTTTTAATAGTCAGTTTTACCCAAGAGATTTTGATATAACTTGTTAATTTTTCATTCACCTCTTTCTCTGTTCACGTTGACTTGACATTTTTTTGTTGACCTTGTATGCCATCCTATCATGTTATAAAAAGAAATGGACATAAGACCATGCCCATTCATGACTAAAAATCAATTTGGTTGGGAGAATAATATTAAAAAATTGAGAATTTTGGACAAAACCCACCGAGGCTGTGGGCACATCAACCCCCAAGTTGTTATTATTATTATTATTATTTTAATCCACGTGACATCCTATCAATTAACCCTTAGATTTTTTTTAGGATAAAATTCTATACTTAATAAAATTTAACATTATCCATTTCAGAAAAATAAAAAAAAATACTGAAAATCGTAATTTTTTTTACCTATAAAAAGATTATGAAATCATATATCTTCATATCCAATCCTCATTTTGTATTTTAATCCCTTTTTATTTGTATTTTCTAAGTATGGACGGTGAGTTTCCAAATTTTTATATAAATCTTGGAGACTCTCAAAATCGATCTAATGCTCAGTATTTTGAAAATTCTCCGTTTTTTTCAAATCCTAACCAAAATCCTGTCACAAATAATCTTCAAACATCACAAAATACTGAAAAATAACAAGGAAATAAATGAGATGCTGCAGAAGATGTCGCTTTAATGTCAGCATGGTGTTTTGCTAGTGAAGATAATGAGCGTGGAAAAAAACAGAAAAAAGCATAATTGTGGGCACAAATAAAGCAACTGTATGATGTCGCTCGGGTTGAAAATCCAGAAAAGCTAAATAGCAGGAACGAAGATCAAATGAGAGGTCGTTTTAAACGGCTTAGTGAAAATGCACAAAAGTGGGTTGGTATATATCGGGAAGCATGGCGTCGAAGAAGAAGTGGAACGAGTAGAAAAGATATTGAAAATGAAGCTCATAAACTTTATGAGGCAAGTGGGAACAAGTTTAACGACATTATTGTTTTTAATGAAGTTGAACGAGCATTTGGAGTTCTACAAGCTCGTTTTGCATGTCTTCGACACCCATGTCTTTTGTGGGACAAGGATATGATGGGGAAAATTATGATTGCATGTATTATCATTCATAATATGATTGTGGAGGATGAACGTTGTACATACCTTCACTATTATGATCCATCCGAATTTCTAAATGACAGGCCTACAAACCGGAAACGAAGAACCTATATTGAAGACGACAATCAAAATTTAGAATATTTCACTCAACGAATTGCAGACCTATCCAGTTATATGACCAATAGGGCATAACTTCGCAATAGAGAAACTCATAACATTCTGAAAAACAATTTGAGTGAGCATGTATGGAAAAAATTTGGCATTGATGGATAATTATGTAGTTTGCATCTTCCGTATAATCTTGTATTTCATGTTTTGATTGTAACTTTGTTTATCTATTTTATTAAGTCTGTTTTATAAATATAATTTTTTTAGTTTTATATTTAAAATAAATAATTTATTAATAGAACTAAATTAAATATTTTTTAAATTTTCTAATAAATATTACTAGAATAAAACATAATCTTAAAATTTATTATTTATATAATAAAAAAGTGGTTTGAGTTGGTTTGCTAATGAGTGTAAAAAGTTAGTTTAGTTGGGTTGGGTATATGGAAGAGAGAGAAACTATTTATTTAATGGATAGTTGAGTTGGTTTTAGTTGTGAATCAGAGTAGTCTAATAGCTTGAACTCAAGACCTCTTGTGTGTAAATAAACGACTTACTGGTCAACCAAACAACGTTCTTGTAATTAACAGTACTTTACTTATAAAAATGTATATAATTCTTGCAATCGCCAAGAAGTAGCTATCTGTGCCTACACTTTTAAATAATTTGTTAGAGAAATCATTGTAAGATATTTTGATATGTATGCATGGATTTCATTAATTTAATATGGTTTTTGCGAGTTATTATTATAATTTTTTTTTTTTGAGGAAGTTGCTAACAAATAACACACGTTAAAAGGAATAAAATCATCATATAATTTATAATCTTATATTTATTTATAAGAAAGTTCCATTATATCAATACCGTCGATCCAAAAAACTTGTAATAAAATTATATATCTTGTTCAATAACCATTCACAGATTAGTCTCCGACACACTTTCATCTCAAAGATCATTCAAATAGGAGAGAATTTTTTTTTCCGATGCCTTTCTGATACTACGAATGAACACATTTTCACAGACGTACATATGTTGGATGTAACAATCTCTTACCCTTACTTAAATTGGAGAAGAATGTCGACAAAGTAATCTTGCAAGACCTCTACCTCCTATTGTTGGTGGGAATCTCTTCACTTAAAGATACCATGTCATAGCCCTACTTGTTAGTTCTATTGATCTTGTGATAATCTCACACTAAGTAGTTTGGATTTTTTTTTTTATCAAATACAAAGATTAATAAAGGACTTCACTTTTGTAAAAGGAACATATGATTTTTAGATATGTTCATATTTTTCGAAAAAAGTTGATCATTTTCAAACATGGTTTTGTTCATGATTTTCGAACTTGGTCATATTTTTTGAACTTCATGATTTTTTTAAGATTAATATGCTCATGATTTTCAAAAAAACATTTTCGTACTACTAAAACAACGAATAACATCTTTTTGTTTGTACAAAATGATAAAATAAAAACAATTTTTCAGAGAATTATGTGTTTCAAACATGTTTTTAAGGTAAAATGTACTTAAAGTCTATATTTGATTTTTGAAGTCATGTTTGAAAATGGGAATGTCAGCTCGCGTTAAATAGAAACATACATTTGAAAAGTGTGCTACATTTTCGAATACTCTTTTATCTAAATTCATGGTCATATGACAACATATGTTGATTTTGAAAATTATCGTTTAATGGATATTAGTTTTTTTCAATATGGTCAATGGGTCAATATCCTAACTATAAACAGTTATAATGAGATTTTATAACATCATACTGTAGTTAAGTGTTTTTTATGCAACAAGATTTTGCTTTATTAAACCAATCTATGCAAATACTATAGTTAAGTGTTTTTTATGCAACAAGATTTTGCTTTATTAAACCAATCTATGCAAATGCAACAATAAATCATATTTTTATTTATCAATTTATGCAATCGACTAGAATTATATAACAGTATTTTATATTCCAACCGACTAACAAGTAATATGGTCTTAGGATATAACCTGATTGCATATTTTGTCTACACAATTTTATTGCATAAATTAAAAACCGAGAAGTCCTTGCAATGAAACATTCAAACTATTATTAGATGGGATTCAATTGTCTTAGCAAACGTTATCCAAATACAAGATAGCTACACTCAAAGGCTTTTTTTTTTTGGTGGGGGGGGGGGGGGGGGGGAAGGGAGACACCTCAAGTACATTTATTTATTTATTACTATTATTATTAGTTTCATTACAAGGTACTTCCATGTATAAATCAGTTGAATAATTATAGGTCAACTAACATATTATTTAGTTAACAATAAGATAAAGTTGATGTAAAGAACGAAGAATACACCACAAATATGTGATAATCAAAGATGAAATGATCATTTTTGGAAATGGAATTGGAGCCGTCTGATTCACGGACGGACTGTGCAAGAACTACTTCGTCAATTGCATGACATGCTTCTTGGTTTCATTTTCTCTAATTCTAGAGATAAATGGGTTTGGGACACAGGGGGCATGAAAGAGTTTACACTATCAAAAGTTAGAAGGATAGTTGATGATTTCTTATGGTCCTATTACAACTAGGTGGAACAAGTACCTTCCGTGGAAGGTGAATATTTTCTGTTGACATTGTCAGTGAAATAGGCTGTCTACTTATATTAATCTTGGTGACAAAGGAGTTGACATTCCTTCCGTCATTTTTGTGATTTGTAACTTCGATTTGGAAGATGTTAATCACATTTTTTCTCATGTGAAGTGGCGGTAGAGATATAGAGGTTAGTTGGAAAGTGATGTGATATTAATATTTTGCTATCGTTATGCTCTAAATCTTCACCAACTTATAGAAACAACAAAAAATAAAAATGTTTTTGTCTCGGCTCTTTCATTAAAGTAATTGAAGCTCTTTCATTAAAGTAATTGAATTGTGGTCTTTTCGTTCCTTGTAAATGATATTCTATAGCATTAACTAGCATATAATCAGTTGGATATATGCATATATTCAAGTTACTTTACAATGTTAAATCAATGTTAAATCGGCCAATTTAATGGAAGAAATGAAAGGTGTTGATGAAATTTCCAAACTCAAATTGACTATATCATGGTGTCCACCAAAGTTATATTAATATTTCACTCATTTTATTTATATACGATTTGATTACATATTTATTCTGAGAGCCTAACCCGTTCAATTTGGCATCATAAACTAATTAGTTTTATAATAAGGGTTTTTACGGCTTAATTAAACACAAAGAGTGTTTATTGTATTTTGTAATCTACCTTTTTTTTGAAAGAAATTTCAGAATTATCATACAAAATTGGAACATAGAATTCTTTGAAGAACATATTTTTAAATTTGACATTTATAAAATCTTATATTTTCAAATTACACATAAGTCAACCGGCCAAAAATACACACCAAATCTTGTGACATGTAAATCGTGCCATGATGAAAACGATAATTCAAATTCAACGTTAATTTATTTTTGTGACAGGTATGTATAATGGTATCATTCAGATCTCATCTCATGAATGTTTTCTTTTCAATAGCATTCGATTCTGTCCATTTTCATGTTATACGATTTTAGTGTTGTTTCGCTCTCCTCTCCTGTAGTGCTTAAATTAAATGTCAGGTGATTCACCGGAGGGGACAACCATCTCCAGTCGCCGGAGTACCGTCCGCGTCGTAGTTCTCGGTGATCATGCGACTGGTAAATCAAGCCTAATCACCGCAGCTGCCTCCGATACTTTTCCCGAAAATGTTTTACCTGTTCTTCCTGTCACTCATCTTCCTGCCGACTACTTCCCCGATGGCATTCCCGTCACAATCATTGATACTCCATCTAGGTTTGAATTAAGCTCCGTTTATCTTCGATTTAATAGATCGAATTAGATTCTCCTCGTTAGCTGAATTTTTTGTTTATTTAGTTTGGAAGATAAAGGTAAGGTAGAGGAAGAACTGAAGCTAGCCGATGCAATAGTATTAACGTATGCGTGTGATCAACCTGAAACCCTCACTCGCCTTCAGAACTTTTGGCTTCCTGAAATTCGGCGCCTAAAGGTTTCAATCTCTTCATCTTAATTTATGTATACTGCACAAGTCTCATAAGAGACAAAATACACAAGTTTCACGTGTTGGAAGAAAAAGTGTTTTGTTTAATTAGTTATAAATCTGGTTGTGTAACCTTAGTATTTTTCATATATAGGTAAAGATACCAGTGATTGTGGTTGGATGCAAGTTAGATTTGCGCGATGAACACTACCCTATTAATCTAGAGCTGGTGATGGGTCCAATTATGCAACAGTTTAGGGAGATCGAGACTTGTATAGAGTGTTCTGCAGCTAACCTTGTCCAGGTATGTCATTGTGTTTAACCTCTATTTCTATGTTAAGATTACAATTTGGTCAATATAATGATGACCAAAGTTATGATCCTCAAGATAAATTGTGCTTTTAATGTGCACTCTCTAGTTGAAATTGTACCTTGTTGCTGCAATCATTATTAAAATGTTGGCAATCTACTTCTTTATGCTTATAAACTTATTGTTTATGCAAAATCACCATAGTTCAATCAATTCAGCCCATCATTTGTTTTTATCTATTCTGAGATATATGTGATCCTTTTTAAATTATTTTTCAAGAACCTTAGAATAAAGACAGGTTCTGCCAGTTATGGTCTATGTTATTCCTTGTAAGCACAATTCGTTTTGATGTTATGCATCTGGAGAAGTTAAAATGCAAGAAATTTTGGTTCCTACTTGATCATCAAACTTACAATCTAAATCTTTACATGTTACATCTTCAGAGAATACATTAATTTGATTACATTTTGTAGGTAACTGAGGTCTTCTATTATGCTCAAAAGACAGTGCTTCATCCAACAGCCCCCTTGTTTGATCAAGAATCTCAAACTTTGCAGCCTCGCTGCATAAGAGCATTAAAAAGGATATTTTTACTTTGTGATCATGATATGGATTCTGCCCTGAATGATGACGAGTTGAATGAATTTCAGGTCATGTTCTCAATCATGTACTGCATAATGTGAAAAGTCTTCTACTTTCTTTCTAAATTGAGGTCCCTGACTTCTTTTTTCTTCTATATTTTCAGTTTAGTGATGGGATTGAGAATTGTATGCAATAATATTTGTTTTCCTTGTGTTTGACAGGTTAGGTGTTTCAATGCTCCTCTTCAACCTTCTGAAATAGTGGATGTTAAGAGAGTAGTGCAAGAAAAGGTACCTGAAGGGGTCAATCGTCTTGGGCTTACTCTAAAAGGATTTCTGTATCTTCATGCCCTATTTATAGAAAAAGGTCGCCTTGAGACTACATGGACTGTTTTACGTGAATTTGGGTACAATGATGATCTTGAACTCGAGAAAGAAAATCTTCCTGTTCCATCTGAAAAGGCTCCTGATCAGGTCATGCTCCTATAACTTTAATTACAAGATTTAATTTTTGGTAGCATTTATAAAATAACGTGTTATTTTATATCTCTCAATGCTTGTGTTATTGTAGAGTGTTGAATTGACGAGTGAAGCTGTTGACTTCTTGAAAGGGATTTTCAGATTGTTTGATTCTAACAAGGTACGTTTTCTCCCACATTACATCACAACGTAACTTTTTATCACTTGATTGTGAACTACATCTACATTGTGAAGTTTTACTTGAAAGCTGCTTTAGTTAATGTCAGTTGTTACATGAGTATTATCTGAAGTGTAGTTTTGTAGTCAAATATTGGTTCTTGAGTTGGACTTTGTCACCATCTATTCCTTTCCTTTTAGTCTTCTATTTTAGTTGCTTACACGCAAACATAATCTCATTTTACTAATCCAATTTCTTTTTGCACAATTAATAAATAACTCAATAACCAAGTTGTGCAAATCATCTCAAATTATCAATCTTTGCACTTTCTAGGATGGAGCTCTACAAGATTCTGAACTTGATGAGATGTTTTCAACTGCACCAGAAAGGTGGGGGTTAGTGTTTCTTATAATCTACTACTTGTTACATACACTAATTAGTATGATACTCATACCATATTATATGATATCTAGCTACTCTAAATGTGTTATATTTTCCTTGCAACTTGTTCTTTATTTTTGTTTTCCCCTTTCCTCCTTTAATATTGTTGAAATTTCAGTCCATGGAATGAAGCTCCTTACAAGGATTCTGTTGAAAGAACTGAACTAGGAGATCTTACACTTTCTGGGTTTCTCTCTCAGGTGCTTTTTAATGGCATCCAACTTTCTACATAATTTGTATATGTTGTATGTTACTAACACTATAAGCTCATGGTTACAGTGGGACCTAATGACATTAATTGACCCACCTCAAAGTTTGGCCTATTTGATATACCTAGGATACACCGGTGATCCTGCAACAGCCTTTTGTGTTACTAGGAAAAGATCCTTAGATTTTAAGAAGCAACATACTCAAAGACATGTTTTTCAATGCTTTGTTTTTGGACCCAAAAATTCTGGCAAATCTGCATTGTTGACTTCATTTGTGGGAAGGTTCATCATTTTATCAACTTTTTATTTCTGACTTTTTGACTCAGTTTTATCATCTATTCATAAAGATTGCTCTCAATTTACTTGCAGGCCTTTCCAAAGCAAATATAACTTAACAAGCGATCAATGTTATACAGTGAACACTGTTGATCAACTTGGGGTGTGTCTCCTTGATTTTTGATAACTATTCAGTTTTCTATTAATCTGATATGTTATTTACACATTGATCTTTCAGGGGACTAAGAAGACTCTTATATTGCATGAAATTCAAGAAGATGATGTTAAAGAATTGCTATCCAGTAAGGAGTCATTAGCTGCCTGTGATGTAGCAGTTTTTCTTTATGACAGGTGTGGTGAATCCCATTATCATTAATAATCTTGAGATTTTTAAAATATATGGAATATATAATTTAGTTGGTTGTTACAGTTCGGATGAGCATTCCTTGAAAAGAGCATCAGAACTACTGATGGATGTAGCCATGAAAGGAGAAGATAGCGAGTATGCTGTCCCTTGTCTCTTAGTTGCAGCTAAAGACGACTTACATCCGTATCCAACATCACTCAAAGATTCAGAAATGGTATTTTATGTCATCAAATTAACATATCAACCTCTTAATTAATATCAAACTTTTTCACGTAGATATGTCTGACTATGAAAATAGACGCACCAATCCGCATGAGCGTGAAAGAAAAAGATACAAATGATGCATTCCTCAGAATTGTTAATGCTGCTGAACGATGTCATTTGAGTGTTCCCGAAACCGAACACGGGAGAAACAAGAAGCATTACCAACAACTTGTCAACCGTTCTCTCGTTATTGCTTCTGGTATGCCTATTACTATGTATATATATGTATATATGTATGTATGTATGTATAATTATATATCATTGCTTCAAAATTATTTGCATGTTCATATTTTTAACTACAATTATGCAGTAGGAGCTGCTGTTGCTGTAGTTGCATTTGCAGCATACCGAGCTTATGCTTTAAGGAAGAGTAACTCTGCCAGTTAAGTAAAGGCTTAGCTACACCGAAGGAGTCAAAATAAGCGGTTTCTTACTCTCCATTTATACTTACATTTTTAAATTAATTGCTAATTATAGAAAAATAGTTATTGGACCCATTTTTTTTTAACTTCCGTTTTGGTTTTACGTAGTTTTAGCCATGTCATGTTATTCATAACTCCGTTGCTCAAAAAATGTCATTGTATTTTTTTTATGATTAAATAGTATTGTACAAATCTATATGTTTTGATCATTCATGTTAGATAAAACTATTTGTTAATATGTAAATTGAAATTTAAATTAAGAATATCTAATTGACATGAGAAATAAACCGATGGTGTGATTGGTCATTGTTTTTACATCGAAGCATTATTTATTATTTGTTACATAGCAATTTTTAGTAGATGATAATTTTGTCGTTTTCTATAACATAAAAAATCGATAAATGATATTTTGGTGCTTTTGTGTAATTTATATTCTGTATTTTGGACAGATTTGTAAACAAAACATAAAACAAAGAGAATCTCATTCTATTTCATGCCAATCAAAGTCGACATGCCACTCAACGTCGACGGCATCACATATTATAATTCTTGTTTAATTCTAATCCATGTGATTCTAATTCCTTCGACATATTTAACTCCTTATAAAAACACTGTGCAATCAAACACCGGTTAGATTATAAACCGTTATAATTTGTAGTAATGTTCAATTAATTTGTTTCAAAACTTTTCCTTTTAAAATTACCGAAGATGATTGGTATGATGGTGGCTATTTGCATTTGTTTTTTCACCATTAATTTGTTTCAAAACATTTCCTTTTAAAATTAATAGCTGTATACTTGTCTGTTTGATATTTTGGATTGCAAACACACAAAGCAAGAAATGAAATATTTTACCAACACTATGTTTGACAGACCAGTAGAAAAGTTAGCTGCTATATAAAAAATTGGTTGATAAAAATAATATTTGATAAAAATTAACTGATAAACTAGCGAAAAAAAATAAATAGCATAAATAAGAATGATTCAATGTTATAAAATAAATATAATAGACAATGATGTAGTCATTTATAGCTTTACAATACAACAATCAGTATATATATAATAAAAAGCAACTAATGTATGAATAGTATATTTTTGTTTTTTTAACTTTTGTCGTGATAGTTTTGTTTTTAGACTTTTGCCATATGAATAATATACTTCTGCCACAATAGTTTTGCCTTAAAAAAAATCGGAGATGTTTCTTGCGACCAACATCACACTACTTTAAGAAATCTATTTTATTTTACTAGCTTTCAAAATCTACATTATATTACAATAATGTTTTTTTTAATAATTCAATTAAGTGCAAAAATAATATTTTGGTCTTTATATTTTATATCATTGAAATTTCATTTAATATATATGTTTTAGTTGTATTAAATTTTATAGAGTGATGACGATATAATGAAAATTTATACAATAATATTCTAGACATGTTTAATTTATATGATTTAGAAAGATATAATTATTATGATTTTAAAAAATAATTAAATATCACTATAAAAACTTATGTTTTAATACGATAATCAAACCTACTAATTTTTTTTTTTAATAATTATAACAATTAGTTCAGTAAGAATAAAGAACATAATTCGAAAATAAAGAAAAAATCATTATAAGCACGTTGAAAAGTTGTTTTAGATAACTTTCTATAAATTAGTTTATAATTTACTTTTGGTTTGTCAAACATAACAACTTTAGAAAACTTTAAAAATATCTTAGCTTATAAGATGGTTATGGTATGCCAAACATAATCAAAATGATATTTCGATTGTTCGGTTTAACCAACGATTTAAAAACTGGGTCGAACCAGTAAGACTGAGACCCGATGAAGAGAGTGGTTCAACTAGCATCAATTTTAAGCCTATTTATGGATTAGAATGAACGAGCTGGTTTTAACAACAATTCGGTTGAACCAATTATATGGAACCGTAAAAAACAACTATTGAGACGGTTTTGATGAGAACATGACAATGTTTTTTTATAAGGATGAAGTTGATAGTGAATTTTATTTACAAAACGATCGTGAGATTGATGTATTTAACACTCCATTGTCTCAAACTCCATAATTTATTTTGATCGTGATACGTTTGTATTCGTCTAAAACTATATTTTGTTTTAGTATTAATTATACTTTATGAATCTTGTTGATGTATTTGGATTGATGTAAAACTTATGGTTATGTGTTTCTTTAATTTATTTGGAATGATCTACTACTTGTTGTTATGTGTATTGTTAATGTTTGAATTTTTGGTCGTCAAACATTAAAAATACACATATTAACAAGTAGCAAAACAATCCAAATACATTAAAAATGGTGAGAATTGCGAAGATAGATTTTGACCATAATATTGAAAAAAAGAACAAGTGGTCGAAATTTTAATTTAATTATCGTCAAAATCTTGCGAGATATATGACCCTTTGGTAATTAATTACAAGATTTTGGGAATTTCCGGTAAATGTTAAATGTTTGGAAGGTTATTGTTTTGGTAAAAAATTACACAAGTATTGATCAACCAAATTGAATGAGAGGCTGTGATGTTTGAATTATGCAATATAGAAAGGTAAAGAGAATGACACGATTGTTTACAAGGAAAGCCCTTGACCCTTGCTAGGATCTCCGACACAAAACATTGGGAGGTGATAATGATCACCTGCCTTGATGATTTTATTAGTATAAAATGATGATTATAGAGAGTATTTTAGTAAGAACAAGTGAAAAAGTTTGTAGAGTAAGCTCAGTGTAAGCAGAGTGTGTC